CACACAATGCCCGTTTATCTTACTGTTCAAATTTTAACCTCTCCCATTATCAAACTTTTTCGGAAAAACTAAAAAAATACTTACCAACAAAAAAATCTTAATTTTGTTATACAATGATTAAGTAATATTGTTTTTTTTGACTACCAGACTAAATTACTGATACTTTTAACAATTTTCACAATAACTATTACTATTTATGACAGAAACAACAAAGAAAAATTGAGAGAAAAAATTAAGTGAGTTAGAGAAGAAACACGATTTATTATTAGATAAATTAAAAAGTATTGGGGTTCATGATGTTTCTGAAGACGCCGATCGACAGTCAATTCAGGAAAAATTAGCCGCTTGTCATTGAGAGATGGCCTACTGGAAAAGAAAAATTGTGCAACTAGAATTAAATAATAAGAAAAATAAATTTATTAGTTATCGTTTGTTGACCACCGGACAAGAAAAAAGTGTCGAGTTAACGGAAGAATGAGAAGCCGATCCTATCCAAAATAAGATTTCGTATAGTAGCCCGTTAGGGAAAGTCCTAATGAACAAAAAGATTGGTGAAGTTGGTGAAGTTCAGACTGAAAAGGGGAACTATGTAATACAAATAACAGTTATCAGATAATGAATGTAAGATTTTTACTTTTTCGTGGAGCCAATGAAAATGAAGGAAATTTTTCGGCTTTGGAGAGCGAAAAAACTATTATTATTTTAGCCGCTGGGCAAGATTATGCTCTTTCTGGCTCGGAAGAACAACAACTGGGTTGTAGTTATCTAAAAGAAAATCGGGATAAAATACAAGGAATCATTGTTAACAATACTACTTTTCATAATACTGGCTTTTTGGCTCAGATTTGCCAAGAGTTAGGACAACAAATTCCCATTTATACTAGTGTTCATAACAAGTTAGTCTTACATTACCTTTATCCTCAGATAAAAAACCGAATAGTAGTTATGATGTCGGCTTCGCCACCTATCTTGATTGGTGATTTTACTTGTTCTTTCTTTCCTCTCCCTAGTTATTTGCTGGGCAATTGTGTCGTTGCTTTCCACCATTCGCAGTATAGTTTTTATCTGCTTGAAGAGGTTCTTTTAAATAATTGTTGAAATAATGAATTGCTTTTTCCTCCCCTTTTTCTAACTGAATTTAACAACTTTTTAACATCAAGGGGGAAAACTAATTATTTAATTACTAGTTTTACTAATATTTACTGACAAACTAATAATTCACTTTTTGCAGTTGCGGATAATTTTTTTCCACCCGAGAAAACTAAATTTTGAATTCTTTACGAATTCGATTGACTTCATATTTTAGAACTGTTGGTTTTGTCCCGTCAACACCAAAAAAAAGTGCGGATACTTAACGAAAGATTTCTTTTGTTGGTGCGACAAATATTAGCCAAAAGTTCGTTAGGCCAGGTTATAAGTCGCGAAGGAGAAATTATTTTATTAGTCGTTAATCATAACAATATTGAGACTGAAATAGATTATCATTTGCAAGGTTTTCCCGTCGAACAAAAATCCAACTTTCATTTTTTACTAGGACTTCCGCCGGTAATAGGTAAAGAAGAAAGTTTAGCTGAGTTAGTTGACTATCTTCACGCCCAAAGCGAAGAGGTAACTAATCTAAGTAAGAAAGAATATTTTAATTTTCGGACTAGCTTGTCCGATTGAAAATTACTAATCCCCATGATTAATCCCCATGGCATTCTCCTACTACAAAATAGTTATAAAAATGCTAAATTCTTGCCCTATTTATCCGGTCCATTTTTAACTTTACCTAATCATCACGCTTACCAGTTTTTCGACCAAAAAATAACACCTTTAAAAGTAAAGAAAACTCTGACCACCTTAGAAGAAATACTAATTAAGCAACGGAAAAACTTACAGGAAGGAGGTTTGTTAATTTTTCTTTTTGTGGTTAACTGGCAAGAAGAAAAATTAATTCTAAAAAAATTGCGACTGGAACTTTTTGGGATTAATCCCTCGGTAAATCTCCTCAAATTAGAAAAAAAAATAAAAGATTGGTGAGAGGAAAAGTTAACTTTTGGGCTAAACCGAGAAGATTCGACCAAAGTAATTAAAGAAACAGTCAAAAGACGTTGTAACGAATTGGTAAAAAGTTACCTCAGCAGCGAACACGATATAGAATTAGAAGAATTACCGATTTTGTTGTTTCTCAAATAGTTTTATGGTTAAGTTGGCATTTCTGTTTTTTAAAAACTCTGATTCTTCTTAATTAAGCAAAATGATGAGAAATAAAACAATTTAATGAAATATAACGAATTAGTGGATACTAATAGTATTCTTGATTTACTGACTACTCATTTCCAATTTTCGCTCCGCCAGAGAGGAAAAAATATTTTTTTTCTTTGTCCTTTTCATGATGATAAGAGTCCTTCATTATGTTTTGAACCCAAAGCAAAATTTTTTAAGTGTTTCGCTTGTGGCTTTTCGGCTCGTAA